ATCCACAACATCCACAACATCCACAACATCCACAACGTCCACAACATCAACTGCCCCCACAACCAAAACAACCAACACATCCAACCAATCACAATCACCACAACAAGTATCCACTCCTTCCATGATCGTAAATCATAAACGAGCATATGACATGGAAGATATCGAGCAGCCAATTAAGAAGAAGTACAAGGACGACTCAAGATTCACATCTGTATATGATGACAAGTCCAAGCCTATCACCTCGACAACAACATCATCATCTGGAGGAGTACCATCACCACAGGTGTTCAAGTTCACTGGCAACAACAACTACCACAATAATAATACTCGTCGTGTTTACTTTGCCAGTGATGACGAGGACGAACAAGAATATGATGAGATCGAGGATGAGGACTATGATGGTTCCTACTCCAGTAACCACCGCTATACATATATTGACGACAAACATAAGGCTGTCTTGTATCCCAGCTGCATCAGCAACTCCTCCATCGCCAGCACGACACCAACGACGACAACCACGACCACAACTGCAGTGCAGACTATTCCTACAATGAATGCATCATCCTCCACTTAAGACCGAATGAATAATTGGTTTGGATGAATGTATGAATTGATGAATGGATGGATCATGTTCAATAAACTATTCATCAACTTGGCAAGTGTTCACTTCACAATGTCGTCACACTCACCTTCACCTTCCATTGGCACTGTGGACACAGCCACTGCGCCATCACTTCCTAGGCAAACCAAATTGCCAATGGCTTCTATTGTGGCTGGATGATGGGACGCCTGGGTTGGGTCGATGGTTCCATGCGAACGGGCCAAGTTACCTGATCTGGAAAGCGAGGTAGGGCCTTTGGCTCTAGAACTATCTTTGCGACCCACGAGTCGTCTCTCGTCTACAAAGTCCAGAGGTCGGATTAGGTTGTATTAAACGACAGGGGGATTTATGTGTATGTGTACTTTCACGAATGACCAGTCAGGTTGGATTGTTGTTGGCAGGGCATGCCTTCATCCTCCCCCTGGCACACTCGGTCGACTAGTTCATTGACTTGCGCAATAGACAGTGTAATTGACACGGGTGTTGCGCAATGGTGAAGCAAAGTTACGCCACCGGACACACGTCACACGAATCAATGATTGAAATAAAGAAAGGGAAGAGGGCAAAGGCGATCCATTTCAAAGGCATCGATGAATCCAAAAGGACCAAGATAAGGCTGGATGTGGCTCCTAATAATACTAGTTTTCTTAATTAATGTAATGGGTACCATACACACTCACACCGTAGTCTAAAGAGGGGAGCTGACAATGTGATTGATTGGGTAGGATCCAATTTTAGCTTCATCAAACTAGTTATTGATTTGATCGCCTGCGTAAAAAAAAACCTTGTTTGGTGTGTGGTCCAACATTGATAATGGGGTACCCCAAATCAGTAATAGGCACCTGACTGGTCCTTGGGCCTTGCTCTCTCCCGCTCACTTTGAACTTTGAAATATACTTCTCTCTACTCTGATCACAACAATGAATGAATTAGACAGGCAAGGAGAGGACCGTGTCCTTCACATGTTGTATGTCCATGATCATAATAATGATTTCTCGATGAGGACCACCAACCACCGGACGACCCTCCAAGCCTACCCGAGGTATACGAGTAGGCCAGTCTAATGTTTACGAAGTGGTTGTACCAAATATATCACAAATGTTACGATGATGATGATGATTGTGATGATCCGTTGTTGTCCATCTCATAGACTCCCCTCTCCTCCACACTACCTCTTCTTCTTGTTCTTCTCTGTCTGATTGATGATTAACTGATCATCACACCTCCATCCATCCATCCATCCATCATAGGTCATAGTCATCCACCTTTCATTCAGTCACTCAGTCATTATTATCCTAAACCTGGACCACACTACACTCGTCTTTTCGTTTCATTTATAATCATTTTCCCCCCTCTACATTCTCCTTCCATCAACCAACAATAATAATAATTAGAGATAAATCAATCACACAGACACGAAGAAGATAACCGATCACGTGATCCAAAGTAAGGACCAATCCCAAATCCACCTTCCCAACACACACACCACTTTGTCGATTCGAATATTGCGATTCTCCAACTTCACGAAGCACGATCGATCATTGATTGTCAGGGAAAAAACAGGTAGAAGCCCATGATAGAGGGCAAGCCCATTCATCCAATCTCTTCAATGAATGAGTGATACGACGACGATGTGTGTTTCCGGAACCCAATATCAAATCTTGATTCAAAAGGCAGAGACGTCAAGGTCATTTCTTTGTTCCACATTTGGCAACTTTATCCCATTCAGTCAAGACCGACACATATCTCTTTCTCCATATTCGTACCACGTAGTCTTCATTCAATCAATCAATCAGTCAAGTTCTTACTCATTTGGATTCACATCTTTCAATCACTACTTTGTGTCTAATTGTCTTATCTGAACTTTATACTTTGAGGTAAGACCAGTCCCTCTCGTCAGCCTTCATTATCCCTACACTACACTCGAATTTACCTGAATTGCCAAATCAATGGTTATTCGATTTACATAACCTGTAGAACGCAAAGACGTCATCAGAGGGCAACCCCCGACAGACCACATCACACAACCAATCAAAGACACTCCATCCATCATCACACTCCCTCTTTGTATCATCACACACATGACCAAACACACAAGCCCTTCCCTCTCTATCCCCTATCCAACACACAAACACTACCCCCTTCCCAATGCATTTCACTTCAAGGACCAGTCTAGCTTGAAGAGGTGCCCCCAAAGTGCAGGGTACCGACATTTTTGTAAATCTCGACGGATCATAAGTATGGTGGTTGAAATCAAGTCTTATTGTTGTTGTAACTCTTGTTGGGAAGGGAGAAGGCACACACTCACAGACACATAGATGTAGAGGGCCAACAACTCCCTCTAGGCATGGTACACCTTGCCCTTTGCTGCCATGAACACACACACACACACACACAATACTTCGCAATTTCTGCCATCATTCATCCATCAAACACATCTATCCATCCAACTATCCATCCGTCCATCTCGACCAACCTCCAGTAACAGTCACAACTCACAATCCAATCCAAGCCAAATATGTTGTTACCTACCCTTTTCTTTAACTAAACTTGGTATATTTAATGATCCATACATACATAGATAACATCATCATCAATCAATCAATCATATCTGAGCTCGAACAACCGTCGTTCATTAATTCATTCATTCATTCGTTCAATCAATCAATTAATTATCCACCAATGTAGTCGTAGTAGATTGATCGAACACTTTACTAATGCATCCATAATATTATTATTTATTTATTAATAGGCCAACCAGAAAATTAATATTTATTTATATGTATAAAGTGACAGAGAGAAGTTCAAAGATTGGATTAGATAGTTCATCGCGCGACATTCACAACTCACACACACCAATTCAATCAATCAATCAATCAAGATATATAATCGAACCCCTTCCCCCTTCCTACCTACGCCTCCCCCCGACATACACGACCTTCCCCGACAATCAATCTTTTAAGCAACCAATCATTTACAATTCATTGGACTGTGCCACCTCAGAGACAATCAATCAATCAGTCCAATCATCAAATCTTTGCATTTCAAACCCATAATCTAATCTAATCTAAAGTTATCAATCTTTGGTGTTTGTAGAATAGGGCCTCCACCACATCACTAGGCTCTCTCCATTCCAACGGATATATTCAAAGGAAGGACCATCACTCCAACACACTCTCTTAACATCCTTTAATCACTTAACTCATCATTATATCAAACAATCAATCAACTACATCATCAATCAATCAAACAAATTATAATATATAACATTATATAAGGTCCAACATGGACTACCAATCTGGCAAGATGGATGACCTGTCTCAGGACAACAACAACAAATCACAGGCCAACACTTCATCAAATACCTCTTCGTCATCGTCATCCTCATCACCAGGCAAACCGGCAGCAGTTGCAAAGAGGGAGGCCAAGTCAAAGAAGTTATCATATGTCCAGCACTGGAAGTTCAAACCTTCGCACCCTCCCAAGGTCCACCAGGCCAATCCCTCACAGCGACTATTACAACCAGTCGATGGCAGTATCAGTGGCAACTCTGGAGAGTCGGAGTCTTCGCCAGACGCTTCACAACAGGAACCACTCATAGATGAAGATGAAGGCGGTGGTGGTGAGCCCACCAAGTTCAACAGCAAGAGGCGTCGAAACTCAGCACCATCGATCAATAACTTTGTTGGACATTGGCGCTATGATCCCAAGGCACATCAGACGAAACAGCTTCAAAAGGAGATAATTGGATATCATCAATTCCAAATGAATCAAAAGAGAAAGAGTTCGATCAGTGAGCCAAGCACTGGCACTAGCACTGGGTCTGGAGCTGGTTCTGGCACTGGTAGTGGCGGAATCAGTATTAGTGGCAACTCATCACCAATTGGAAACATATCACCTCAACATCTGCCACAGCCACATCTTCGACCACAACACCCGACCGCCATCAATGAACAACACAACAGCGACTTCATCCAACAACAACATCAACAGATATATATGAAGAATATGCAGAGCTCACATGGACTGGAACAATTCAGTCATGATGACTATCATCCTGATCAGATCACTCAACAACGAATGTTCAAACCATTCCATCCTTATGGTCGTGGTCGAGCATCCTCACAGCCCAATCACATGACACCTCCTGGATCGTCGACGCTTCCGGTACCTCCGCCTCCCATCATGATTGGCGGCCACTCACACACACCTCCTGATGTTGTTGGATCATTACATCCTCAGGCACTGGCACCACCCTACCCTGGTCACCCGCCCATGTTTCCACGCAGTGACAGAAGGTACTCACTACCAGCATTGCCAGATATATATATTGCCTACCAACAGCAACAACAACAAAACCCACATCATATGGTACATCAACAGCAACAGTTACAACAACACCAACAACAACAAATGCAGTACTATTCTCCGAACAATCCATTCAGGGGCTCACCAAGCCTTCACCCATCATCATCACCACTTTCATTGTCGTCGTCATCGACGACCTTCCTGGACACAATACCCGAGATCCCTTCACATGCCCAGGGATCTGGAGGTAGCGGCGTGGACAGTCACTCACCAAAGATGCCAGGTGGAGGCCCCGGAACTGGAGTTGGCGTCACGGGATCACCAATATCGACAGGCACCTCGCCATTCCTGTGGCCAAGTGGACCACCACCACAATCATCTTCCTCCCCGCCCTACTCGCCTTCATATGGCTCCAAACCACAACTGGTGCACCATGTATATCAACAGCAACAACAACAGCACCATCTATCACCAATAACAGGCGACAACCCTGTTTCGAAATCACCCTCACCATCGCCATCTCGACGGTCTTCGCTGCGTCCAACTCAGGTGTTGGATGACACTTCCTCCCCCAACAACAACAACAACAACAACTACACCGCCATGATGATGCACGGTGGCATTGGCTACGATCGGCCAATGTCCTCCATCGGCAGTGGTGTCAATGTACATAAGCCCCCATTTTCTCCTCAACACCAGCATCAGCATCATCAAGCAGCAGCAGCGGCAACATCCACAACACTTCCTTCAAAGATAACGACAACGACAACGACAAAGATAACGAATATAACCTCTCCTCCCCCTACATCTTCTTCCTCCCTATCCTCCTCCTCATCCTCATTGGACCATCCCATGACAGCCAAGACACAGTTATTACCTAACAAACCAGCAGAGTCCATCTTTGATGATAGAGACTCACAACAGAGTAACAACAACAACATTGGTTCAAAGATGACATTGCCATCGATGCGTGATCTTCTCAGTCATTTGAACATACAAGAGTCGACATCAACATCCTCTTCTTCTTCTTCGACTGGTGTATCACCATCGATCAGTGGCAGTGGCAGTGGCAATGAGGGTAAAAGTGACGACAAGATGTGTATAATAAACTTGGTGCAATAGGAGTGATAGACAGTATGCCGAATTGGCCTGTCTCCTCTCGTCCCTTCCACAAGTCAATACACAGCCATAATCAATCTTAATCTTATTGACTGAATGAATGACTGAAGCGAGCTTCAGTTTGTGGAAACACTTGGGACCATGCCCTTTTCATTCTTGATCTTAGAAACGAATGAATGGAGATACATAATCGAAGCAAATATGTCTTCTTGACTGGTATGTACATCTGATCACCTCACTCCATCACTGAACGTTGCACACTTACTCAATCATTCAATCAATCGATCAACAGGCGGTAGTGGATTCGTTGGTCAATACATTATTCGTGAACTTGTTGCCAATGGCTACCGTGTCAAGGCTTTGAGTAGGTCTGCAGAGTCGGACAAAACTATAACGGCAGCGGGTGGTACTCCAACACGTTGTTCAATGCTTGATGAAGCACAGCTTGAACAAGCGACAGAGGGTTGTGTAATGGTGATACACTGTGCAGCCAAGTTAGAGACCAACGCATCAAGTGTCCAAGACCTGTATAAAGATAACATCACAGCGACTCAACTGATATACAATGTATGATTGACATGGCAAGACGATGTGATCAGACAACAGCGACCAGACACTCACTCGCGCACCCTCACAGGCATCAAGAACTAACAAGGTCGAGTCCTTTGTGTTCATCAGCACAGAGGGCGTGTTGATGGATGGCAAAGATGTGATCGATGCGACAGAGGACATGCCTTTGCCACCTCTCGAACAGCTTGGATGGTACAACGAGTCAAAGGCAAAGGCAGAGAACTACATTCTTGAGCAATGCAACCAACAACAACAACATAATATGCGAGCAATGATAGTACGCCTACCTCTTGTATGGGGCAAGGGCGACAATGTCTTGACGCAGCTCACACAGATGGCAAACAGACTCAGCTGGTTCTGGATTGGCAGTGGCAACAACAAGCTGTCGATCGTTCACGTTAGGAATGCTGCTGCGGGCATCGTGCTGGCTGGACAAAAGGGCGACAATGGTGACATCTTCCATCTGACAGACGGCGAACCCGTCAAGCTGCGTCCATTCTTCACACAACGCTTCATAAAGATGGGTGTGGCCGCGTGGAAGCTTCACATGACGCTACCAGTGTGGCTGGCGTGGGCGATGGTGTGGATCATGGCACTGGTGTGGCGCGTGTTCCGACTCAAGGGCCTGCCCATCCTCACCAAGACTGGCGTCATTTACTGCTCCAAGAGCTTCACCATCAACGACAAGAAGGCACGTACTAAGCTTGCCTATCGCAATGTGATCACCTTTGCCGAAGGCATGGATGAGCTGCGAGACAAGTAAATGTACATTTATTATTGCTTGACGGCTGCTGGCTTCCAATCCAGCGTTACCAGCTGCGCCAACTTCTCTTTGGCAAGCTGGCGATATAGTTGATTCTGTTGTGGTGATCGATTAAGTGGCGTCGCTGGATTGCACTCGAGCAGTAGTTTCTTTAGAGCTGGCGTGCGCTGTTTCAAGATTGAGAATGTTTCCTCCAGATTGTCCAACTTGTTGGAGAATAAGAACAATGACTCTAAACCTTCCAGTGATGGCATCGTTGTAAGATCTGTTATAAGGTTGTTGGATAGTGATAGACTTGAGTTGGTAGGAGTTGGATTGTTAGCTATGGTTGTAGCGCGACCTTTTGGCGACTTGACAACATACTAGTTCAACTTGATGTTAGTTGACATTCCATTGCAGTTAGTTATTCGATTGGCTCGCAAGTCAAGCAGTTCCAAGTTGACCAACTGATCGATGTTGGTTATCTAAGGATGAATAAATGAATGAATGAGCGAGTGAGCATGTGATGGATGAATGTCCACAGAGAATGTTATGTCCCTTACACTTGTCAACTTGTTCTTTGAAAGATATAGCTTCTTGAGGTGTATCAGCCTGTTGATCTCGGCTGGTATGTCCTTCAGCTCATTGTTTATAAGGTATAGCTCAGAGATGTGAGGGAAGTAATATGTTATCGAGTCTAAATCAATACGATTTATGAAGTTGCCAGAGATGTCTAGTATCTTATTGATTGGTTGATTGATTGATTGAGCGAGTGAGTTAGTGATAGATCGGCTAAAAGATGGTTATATTCAATTAATCATACATGATAAGTTGTCAACTGTTGTTTCTTTGACTCGTCAATGTTCTTTGTCAACTGATCACGGTCGATGAACTCAAACTTGGAATTGACCAAGTCGAAACGACCTGGTATTGTAATAATACTCATCATTATCTTTATCTATCTTGCTATCTCTATCTCAACGTGTACATGTGAATGAACTCCTCCTTCGTCTTGTCAAACAAAATGAATCTGATCCAATTAATTGTTTACTTCTCTCAATCAACAATGATTGTTGATGGATGTTATTTATCGTAGTCTTGCTTGCACCTTCACAGATGAAGGAAAGGAAAGGAAATGAATGGATAAAGGAGGAATGATGAGGTGGATTGTTTTAAATAATTAGATGATTATGTTATAGTAACTGGATGAATGATTGATTGATAGATAATAAGTATCCTTATAGAATGAGACATCCACTCTTCTTCTTCTTGCCAGCCTTGTCCTTCTTATCGGTTGGAACAGCACCTGGAGCATTGGCAGTGTCCACCTTGGTGTCGCCTCGTGATTTGAGCACTTGATCAATGGCGGTGTTGAACACCTCCTCCAGACCGGTGCGAGTCTTGGCCGATACCTCTAAATAAAATGGTGCTCCAATCTGTTTGGCCATCGATGTACCCATGTCTGCAGTGACTGGCTCGAACTTGCCAGAGTTTGGATCAGGGTGCTGAGCCTCCCTCAGATCAGTCTTGGTGCCTACCAAGATGAGTGGAACGTCTGGTATATAATGGTTGACCTCTGGTGCCCACTGTTATGATGGAGGTGATTGTTCAGTCAGTCAATCAGTCATTCGTCTTCTACCTCGTCACTAAGGATAACTTACTCTGTCTCTGATGGCCTCGTATGATGCTTGGCTGATTGTTGAGAAACAGAGCAGGACGACATCGGCGCCTGGGTAGGACAGTGGACGGAGACGATCGTACTCCTCCTGACCAGCGGTATCCCATAGATGTATCTTTATGTCGTCTCCATTTCTCTTGCGAGTCGCTGTGTAGTTCTCGAATACAGTTGGCACGTAGTCAGTTGGGAACTCATTATGAGCGTAACTAATCAACAGACAAGTCTTTCCGACGGCTCCATCACCGACGACGACCAACTTGACACGTGTTGCTCCAGCATCCTATATCATTCAATTCATTCATTCATTCATTTATCTGTTGTGTAAGTATCTGTTGTTGTCCATCTCTGTCTCTGTTCACATTGTTCATTTCCAATAACCTACAGCAGCTTCAGTAGTTGACATTATTATATTATATTATATTAAATGGTATGTATGTGTATGTATGTACAATCTAAATGTCTACAAATAGTAATAAGATGTTAGTGTTGTGTGTTTGGATGTAACACAATGGTAATGGGATGAGTTGTGTGAATGTCTTCATTGACCCCTTTTGGGCATCATCCATTCATCCATTCATCTATTCATTCATTGTCACTCACTCAACCTCAACCTGTTTGATTCACTTACTTGATTTGATGAGTTTGTAGTAGTAGTTGTAATTGTGAATGTTGAATGTGTTAATTATTACTATTACACTGACTATCTGTTATCTGTATGAATATGAAAGGGAATTGATTACCAAGACAAGAAGAAGAACAGAACACTAGTTGATTGACTGATTTATGATTGATGTGAAGGATTACCCTGTTGGATCTTGTCACGAGTGGAGGGCCAATCCAATCCATTCACAACAACTCACTGTTTGATGGTGGTGTGATAAAAATAAATATACTGTCAAAAAAGTTAACTTTGAATGTTATTACATGAATGGATGAAGGCGATGCTTATAATAATTAACCTTGATTCATTCCTGCCTTTGGCTCGCGAACCTCACATAATCAAGTCAATGCAACACGATCATCTACAGATACATCAAACACGCATAACTATTGACATCAAGAATGATTGAATAATTGAATGAATGAACAAATCCTGTTTGGTCTGTTAGCCAGTCGGTAGTTTGCTGGCTAATTGGTATGAACAATGATGACCGACTAAAGAGTGCACTCAAACTACACCATTGTCGGGCTTGAGCCATTTGATATTATCGTTTGCACTTGTGGCCCACCATCACGATTTACGATTGAATGAATTGATAAATGATTGAGGATGGGTATCTAGGGCATGCCTTTGCTACGTGTTCCAGAGTTGTATTATATCATTAATCCAAATAAACATAACACCAACAACCAGACCTGGTTGACTCTGTGGATTGAAGTATCTATGCCAAAGTCAATCGCTCAGTCGGTCCAACAAACCCTTAGAACTAACGGAAATAAAATTAAAAATAAATATTTGATTATTAATTAACGAGACGAATTAAGTTGTACAAGTACACAACACAGTTCTGTACAGTTTCCATCAATCCATCCATCCCGATAATGTCGGACCTGGCCGTTATGTTACCTCTTTGTTTTTTTTTGATTTATTTGTGCCTGCACCTCAGACATTCAGACTATTCATCAAAGCGAAGGTCATTCATGTGAGTGCATATTAGGGGTGACAATTCCCACTTCCACACCCCCACACGCACACCCTCTGATCAAAGCGCGCCACCACTTGCCACCATCCATTCATCTCGCCTCGTCTGTCAACTGACTCTAATGACCAAACATGTAACAGTCCTTGTTCTGATGAAATGTGGCGACTACACTCCATACATGAATGGATGGGTGGGTTTCAAATCAAACAATCAGATATCCAACATCAACAACAGATGCGCGTTGTTTGTTTCCTTCTCAAACACAACATCAACTCGTTCGATATAAATGCCCGGGCATCCTAACTCAACTCATGAGCATTTACGTGACCTATAACATATCCAAGCACTCCAATCATTTCCATTCAAATCATATCTCTTTGGTTCTTTATCTCTACAAAGTTCTCTCTCTCTTTTCTCTCTCCAGCTTCCTACGTTCCGCGTCGGCCACATACAATCCAAACCAACTATGGATATTGACTCCGACATCCAACTTGATATTAAAACGCAGGATAACGCTGCGGTCCTGGATCGCAACGGTGCCGCACTGTCCGACCTCGACCGCAGCTTCCCCGCTGAGTTCCAGTTCATGAGCCATGACTCCAAGGCCTTGGCCGCCTCCCACACCACGCCAGCTGCCGTGCTTTATAACGCACCCACTCACCCTGTCCCCACCGCTCATCCGAGCGCTACCTCCTCCGACACTGATTCCACAAACAGCAGCAGCGACTCGTCGTTCTTTGCCAGCCTGGACTACCACCTGCTGGGCGAGGACGAGCTGACCCGACGTCTCAACACGAACGCCACCCATGGTCTGGCCACCCCAGAGTGCGCCATCCGTTTCAAGGCCAATGGCGCCAACGTGTTTGATCACCATCGTCCCAACTATGTGAAGAAGCTGCTGTTTTATGTGTTTGGAGGCTTTTGTAGTGTCCTGTGGGTAGGCGTTATCGTCTTCTTTTTGTGCTGGCAACCATTGAGCAACCCCCCTAACGTGACCAACCTGGCACTTGCCATCCTAGTCGTATGTTGTTAGTAGCTTGTTGTTGTTGTTATTGTACACATTCCAGTTGTTTGTGATTGTTGTTACCAATTGATTGGTGTCGTTTGGCAGGCGAGTACGTGTCCATCAAAGCTCCCTCCCCCCTGTCCCTCCTCCCGTGTCTAGTCTCGCCCAACCCAGGTCCGTTGCCTTCCGGTTGTAAAGCTTGATGATGAACAAACGACTCGTCTTGTCAGACACCATCGATATAACACATCACACCTTGTTTGTTATATTGTTGTTGTTGTAATTGTTGCGTTTGTTGGAATATGTGTACAATCAATCATTCAATCACATCGCATAACCCCCTCTTCCCTGTTTGATTGAGTGCCTCCCATTCCAAAAGAGAGCTCCACGTCCAACAAACTCGTGATGATAGCTCGACCCAGGTCACTAACCCCTTTAACTTCCATCTCTGGTTCCTCTCTTGTCTCGTCTCCCATTCTCTTCTCTCTCCCTCTCTCTCTCTCTAACTCCAACCCTCTCGCGAATGAACAGATGATTGTCATCTTCCTTCAAGCTTCATTCTCTGCGTTCCAGGACTGGTCCACGGCCAGAGTGATGAAGTCCATTCTCAACATGTTGCCAGCCGAGTGCCTTGTGGTGCGTGATGGAAACATGACCCGTATCAACACCAACCAACTGGTGGTTGGTGATATCGTCCATCTGAGTATGGGCAACAAGGTGCCCGCCGACATGGTCATCATCCACACTTCCGGCGACCTCAAGGTCGACAACTCCGTGCTGACTGGCGAGAACAAGCCAATCTCGGTCCAGACCTCACCCACCGACCAGTCCTTCCTCGAGTCCAAGAACATGGCCTTCATGGGCACCTACGTCTTCAACGGCACCGGCACCGGTGTCGTCGTGCTCACGGGCAACAACTCTGTGATGGGCCGCATCAACAAGCTTACTAACAGCCGCGGCGAGAAGGTGTCCATCATCCAGAAGGAGATCACTCGCTTCGTTATGATCATCGTCATCCTGACCGTGGCCCTCGCCGCCATGTTTGCCATCGAGTGGGCCGCCTTCCTCCGCATCAAGCACCCCAACTTCATGACCACCGTCGGCATGCTCATGAATGTCATGTCATGTGTTGTCGCCTTCATCCCCGAGGGCATGCCCATCTGTGTCGCCCTGACGTTGCTGATCGTCGCCAAGCGCATGAAGGAGAACAATATCCTGCCCAAGGCCTTGACCACCGTTGAGACTCTCGGCTGTGTCAATGTGATCTGCTCGGACAAGACTGGCACACTCACCCAGAACAAGATGTTTGTCACATCGGTCGGCTTCATCGACAATCAGTCCATCCCAGAGCATGTACGCGACTGCATCGCTGGCGACAATGACACCAATACCTCACGTGCCTACCAACAAATCCAACTGGCCTCTGTACTCTGCAACAACTCGACCTGGGAGGCCTCGACCATCGCCCTGCCACTCTCTGAGCGCAAGATCAATGGAGACGCCACCGACGCAGCCATCTTCCGCTTTGGAGAGACCATGTCCACGGCTGTGCGCTCCAACACTCGCAGCGCCTTCCCCCGTGTGTTTGAGATCCCATTCAACTCCAAGAACAAGTGGATGCTCACCATGCACAGCATTGCCGTCGACGAGGACGACTCGCTGAGTGACCCCTCCATCAACATCTTCGGCCGTCCATTCGGCGCCAGCAAGTCCGAGCACCTGGTCTTTGTCAAGGGTGCCCCAGACGTCCTGCTCCACCGCTGCATCAACATTGTCAACGCCGCCACCAACACTGTCGCACCCCTCAACCTCGACGCCCAAGAGACCATTGAGGCCATCCAACAAAAGTGGTCGCGCTCAGGCCAGCGTGTGCTGCTGATCTGCCGTCGTTTCTACACTCCAGTGTCCGCCGTGGGCAGCGCCGAGCTGCAGCAAGAGATGGAGGACAGTGTCCGCGACCTTACCATCATCGGTCTGCTGGGCATCATGGACCCACCCCGCCCCGAGATCACCGAGACTGTTGCCACCGTGCGCCGTGCCGGAGCCCGCTTCTTCATGGTCACCGGTGACTTTGGTCTGACCGCTGCCGCCATTGCCCGCCAGATTGGTATCTTCACTCAGAACGACCCCGAGCCAGAGACCTACGAGGACATCCTGTTGCAACCGGACGAGTCGCACTTTGCCGCTGGCAAGATCACCTCCCTGCTGTTGACGGGAAGTGACATTGCCAAGCTCGACGACAAGGGCTGGGACTCAGCCTGCAAGTACGAGGAGATCGTCTTTGCCCGTACGACACCAGAGCAGAAGCTGCGCATCGTCACCGAGCTCCAGAAGCGTGGAGGAGTCGTTGCCGTCACTGGTGATGGTGTGAACGATGCGCCCGCCCTCAAGGCTGCCGATGTCGGTGTTGCCGTCGTCTCTGGCTCTGATGTCGCCATTGAAGCCGCCGACCTCGTCCTCATGGGCAGTTTCGACAAGATCACCGAGGCCATGCGTCTTGGCCGTCTCGTGTTCCAGAACCTGCAGAAGGTCATCTCATTCCTGCTGCCAGCCGGCTCTTGGTCCGAGATCATGCCAGTGGTCGTCAACTCGTTCTTTGGTACACCCGCTCCGCTGTCCTCCTTCCTGATGATCATCATCTGTTGCTTCACCGATGTGTTCCCATGCCTGTCGCTGATCATGGAGAAGCAAGAGATGGACCTCATGTCGATGCCACCCAGGAACGCCAAGAAGGACCATCTGATCACCATGCGCATCTACGCCCAGTCCTACTTCCTGATGGGCACCATCCAGTCTGTCGTGTCCATGTTCCTGTTCTTCCTGTACATCGAGGAGTACACTGGTCTGTCGTGGTACGACCTGGCCTACACCTACGGTGACATTGACTTCACCAAGGCCAAGGTGTCTGCCGACGACTTTAACAACATCTACGTGCCAACCGGTACGTGTGTCACGTTCATCGCACTGATGATGATGCAGTGGGGTAACATCCTGGCCATCCGTAACCGTCGCATGTCGATCATTACCGCCGACCCAATCCGTCCACAGCGCCGCAACTACTACATCTTTGGCAGCTGGGTGCTGTCGATGATCGTGGCGCTCATCGTCACCAAGGTGCCCTGGATCCAGACGATCTTCCTCACTGGCGACGTGCCCATCAAGTACTGGTTGCTGCCATTGCCCTTCGCTGCGGCCATCCTCTTGTTGGATGAGATTCGCAAGTTGATCGTCCGTCTCTTCCCCAAGGGACCCATTGCCTGGGTTGCTTGGTAATCACTCTTCTCCTCTCCTCTCATTTCTCTCGGGCTGCCCTCATCATACCTGTAGTCTAATCGATCGATCTATCTTAATAAATGTTGGACATGTCCAACAGATACACTATTACACTTACACATGTTCATTTGTCTCTTGTTTGTTTATTTGTTTGAACTTCAAGATCTAGAGTGGAGAGTGGGGTTGGCGCGCTAATAATATGAATGAACATTGACATTCTTCATTTATATGTTCAACAAACACTTACAAATACATATTTATATATGTATGGAGTATTAGAATATACAACACACTCGCTCTTAAATGGACTTCTTCAGCAAGTTGTTGAGTAAAGCACGCCGTTCTTCAACTGGCTCAAGCACATCTTCATCATCAACATCTAATAACAACGATAACAACAATGACAATGGCATACTTAACTTGTCAAAGGCAGCAGCTGCAGTGGCTGCAGCAGAATCTAATCTAACATCAATATTGTCATCAACTACATCAACTACATCAACTACGTCAACTACATCTACGGCATCAACAACAACAACACCAACATCAAAGGCACCAAAACCAACTGCTAAGAAACCAAGTGCAAAGAAGATAACAGCATCAAAGAAACAACAACAGAAGGAGGAGGGCAACGAGAATGGATTGATCAGTAACTACTTTGAGAAGAAGGTTGTATCACAACAGCAACAGTCAACAGGCACTGCAGCATCAGCAGCAAACAAGCTCAACAGATTAAAGAGGGCTAGAGACTCGGACGTCGATGTCCCAGCCAGTAATGATGTCGATATGTTTGAGGACATTGAGGTGATCACCGATGAGCCATCACAGACTTCAAGGAAACAAACGACACCAAAGAAGAAATCAATGCCAACAAAATCAACATCTGATCCATCCACAACACAGACAACACCAACAACTCCAATGACACGAATCAGAAGAGCGACTGCAATCAGACAACAAGAACTACTACAACAACAGAAAGAGAAGAAGAATAAGAAGACACAGGACAGTGAGGACGACACAGACTTGTCAAGTGATGAGGAGTATGTTGAGTCGGACCATCAGTCATCATCAGAGGAAGAGGAAGTACAAGATCATATCATTAGTGTTAGGCCTTTTCGAGGGTCAAGCAGTAGAGGTGGACGTGGGTCCAGAGGCGGAGGAGGACCAGGCAGAGGTGGACGTGGTGCCCGAGGAGGTGGAGGACCAGGCAGTCGAGGAGGACGAGGTGGCAAAGGGGGCGGGAAGGCTGCTCGTGGTTCAGACTCGAGCGGAGAGGACAACAGCGACACAGAAACACAGAATTCATCCACTGGCGACACGAGACCACTCAAGAGGAGAAAGGGCAACACGCCAATCTCTTTCAAATCACGAGTGGACAAGCTTGACATCACAGAACAAGTTGCTCAACCATTCTACGCTGATGACAACATAGAGCTACTATCACAACATGATCCAATCAATACAAAGTGCTTCAATCTGATACAGCCGTATGTTATCCCATTCATTCTTCCATAGGACATTGCTAACATCATCATCATCATGATCACATTCTTTAGTGTGGAGCAAAAGGAATACTATCCTAATCATACTCTATCGTCACAGTTCTTGCTGCGGGACGGGTTCGAGAAGGTCACTCTTCACCGATTCGGTGCACATGTGTTTGATGACAAACTGAAGAAGAACGAGATGGTGATGTTCACAGGAGGCGCGATAAGGGTGCTCAAATGGTGTCCTCTGCCTCGGTCCTACGAGAAGCAATACTTGGCAGTTGGTTGCAACAGAGATACAGAGTCACTACACTTTGTCGATGGTATATACACAGCCAAGAATATGATTCAAATTTGGGAGTTTGGAGCAATGTCCAGCGATGCCAGCATGCCACGACTGGTCATGGGCATCGCACACTCTGGCGACTTTGTCGTCGACATGAACTGGATGAACAATGGCACACTGAAGAATGGCTCACGGCTAGGAGTACTTGCTGCAGTGCTTGGCGATGGCAGCGTCAAGGCGTGGAGTGTGCCGCATCCCGACAAGCTGCCCCTGCTCGCCAGCTATGGTCCATACAAAGACAACTTTCACATCGTGGACATCAAGCCATTCTTTGAGTGCACAGGACTGGGCACTTCGAATGCATTGATCCCCATTAATCAGGACGGCAATGCCAATGACAATCATGACACTGTGCCACGAGGCAACAGGGCTATGACCATCGATTGGTCAGTTAACGACGATCAGGTGCTGTTGGCAATTGGATACTACAATGGCAACATACTGATATACGACATCAAACGCAACAAGACACTGCCGATATTCGTCAAGAAGGACAAGGAGCAGGTGCGAAAGATTGAGTTCTGTCCCTACGACTCGAACATCTTTCTCACGATGCACGTCACACGTGCCTGTCTATGGGATCGTCGAGACTCGTTCCAGGCCGCCCACGTCATCCCCATACTGTTCAATTGGACCTCAACAATCATGTGGACAAGAACTCTATTTCCACTCTATGTCATTGCCTTGGACTCTTGCCTCAAGATATATGACCCAGTCACTCATATTGGTTCCGAGCACAGACTGTTCCAGGATGGACATCAGATCCAGAGCATCGATCAATCACAGAACATGACATTCGTGTCGAGCAGTGCTGGTGGTGAGGTGTGTCTGTTTCACATCTACGGCGAGGCCAAGAGGAAACAGGTAAGTTTGGTCGCTTGCTGAGTGAACTGAGTACATAGCGGTTGACTAACATTTTGTTTGTTCAGCAACAACCTACACATTTACAAATAGAGTGCATGACAGTGAGTGACAAGGATGAGAATGGCAAGGAGGTGGTCGAGTTTGCCAAAGAGGATCGCATAGTGGATATGTTGTTGGAGCCAAAGATGCCGGCAAACAAGACATCGATTGGAATGGCACAGATTCCCTCACTTGCCTCCAATCAGTTTCCAACAATCCAACATTCAATCAACAGTGTCGCATGGAACAAGAACAAAGACCACTCCAAATTGTTGGCCTATGGAGGCACGCTAGGCCTGCTTCGAGTCAGGATGGCACATCATCACGAGCGTGGCCACAAACGATCAGTTGCGGTCACATCCGAGGATGTGGAAATGAACGAGGACTAGTCCAGACTGGATTGATTGTATATATACACATAGAATGGGACGATCCCACTGCAGCCAACTTGTGCTTGCTCCCTCTCTCTCTCTCTAGTTTAATCGTCATCATAATACGAGTCGTCGTGACTACCATACTGTTGTCTAAGTAAACTCTGTGAGGCGTATCGGTCCTCTTCCTCATACTGCTCTGTGTATGGATGTCGATGCTGGGCTCCAGCCGCAGCAGATTGAGTTGTAGTCGATTGTCTTTGCATTGGTGGTGCCATTGAGGGACGCGTAGGTGAGCCACTTGGCTCCTCCTTGACATCGTCACCAGCATTCAACAAGTTCTTGACGAGGTTCCTGATACGATCCTTCCTCTTTTGTTCGGCGGCTATTGATGCCACTGCCTCTTCTGGCGTCAGATGCACCGCCTTCTTTGCACGCTTTCTTCTCAAAGGTACACCAGCAGCCTGTGCATCAGCAATCTCCTTACTCCTTTCCTCTTGCTTCCTGATCCAGTCAATGTTCAACTCTGTCCAAATGGTTTCCTTTACATTTCTCTGATGTGTGATAGATGGTCAGTATGATTGTTGTACTTTGTTGTTGGAGGTAACATACAGCGTCTTGGTCATGTTCAATGTATGATTCGATATCATCGTCGGATAGATCAGACAGGGTGGCGGTTGGTGCAAACACCTCTGGATCAACCTCTGGTTCAATGTAAGGATATTCATCTATTTGAGTGTCTAATGGTAGTAGAGGTGCATCAAAGTCCTCAAATGTCTTTCTACGTCCACTACTGCTGCTACCAAATACTGTTGATGTACTGGACAATGTTGAAGGAACTGATTGAATATGATTATTAGTGATGGTGTTGGACCAATAATAAATCCAATGATTACATACAAGAGTCTAAGTTTGATTGTGTTCCATTGTCCAACATGTTTGACTCATTCTTGAGTATAGACTCTATCTCTTCGGCTATATTTTCACTAGTCTCTATCTCTGTCTGTGTATCTGTCTTGGGTTTCTTCAATGCCTGCTCATCATCAGCATCACCTTCTTGGTCATCTGGCTTTGCCTTCCTCTTCTTTGATCCACCTGTCTGTGAGTCCTCCAATCCATCGTCATCCTCGCCTTTATCTTCATTATCCTTTGTCTTTTTGATCTTTTCTTTTGCACCATCATCAATGTCATCATCATCATCATCATCATCATCATCAGAGACATCTTCACCATTCTCTCTCCTCTTTTGCTTGGCTATCTTCTCCTTTTTCCTCTTCTCACGCTCTTTCTCCATCTCCAACTGTCTGTTCCTTGTGAATGCTGGTGGATCACACTCTGTATCCATCTCGATCGAGTCAAACTCTGCAATCTTCATGTCTGACGCAGGAGTCCTAATGAACTCATCCAATCTCTTTGTCAGAGTACTCTCTCCAATCTTGACCACCTTTATAATCTCCTCAATCGTCCTGACGAATCCATGTACCTTTGATGCCAAGAATAGACTTGCACCACATATTCCAGATGGTCTTCTACCTGTTGCCATCCAATCTCTCTTCATCCTTGCCACAAACTTCAATGCAGTATTAGCAACATCCTGTGTCTTATCTCCAAATTCCAGACTTGTTGCAAATCTCTGTTTGATTGATTGGTCGAGTCAGCGAGCCATTGGGTTAGCGAGAGATTGAGTGTGTTTAACCTGATCAATCAATCACATACATGAATGAACAATGATGGGTCCACAATGGGAAGTTGTATATTGAACAATTTGGCAAAGGCAATGAATGTTGATGCCAGTGTGAATACATTGATCTGGATTGCCTCAGAGAAGTCGATCAAAAGGTCTGTTACACAGTATGTATGGTTAGTGATCAATAAATCAATCAACCAATCAATAAATATCGTTTGAACTACTTACGAGGTGTCTGTTCTCTTCGACACACAACATAGAGTACGGTTGCAGCGACTTGTAGTGATCGTCGACCTCTTGTGAAGTTGTGTTCGATTGCCATTTGATACATTCTCAGACCCATGTCGACGTGATGAGGCTTCAGATTGACCTGTCCAGCCACCTGAAACAAACGACGACGTGCATTCTCCAATGTCAACTCTCTCGAGTCACTTCCAAGACTATGATACTTCTTACTAGACTTGCTCACATAGGTACCCATCACACCAGATGTCTCACTGAACTGTATCTCTGTCACTATATTGGTTGAGTCGACAACCTATCATCATCATCATTGTCATAGTTAGTATGTATGTGATGGGATGAGATGATTGAATGATTGAGATACATACGAAACCACATTGAATACAGACTGTACTTCCATCGTTGGAGGTATCAAACTGTGTACCTTGACACTTTGTACATATCTTTGGTTTAGACATGTCTTATTTGTTGTTTGTGTTTACAGATACTATCTGTTTGTGCATGAATAGATTGAATTGTGAATGAAAGTGGAACCAAACAAAAGCTTTGGTTCCGTTAATTTTTTGAATTTTTGGAACACTTTGATTGAACTTAGAGTCTATTCATTCAAGATTCTTTATCACTCATACATGTACTTATAGACATAACTATGACGACAACTCAACAACAACAACATAATGATAATGATAACAAACAAATAGAAGAGGAGGAAGAAGGTCAATGTTCATCAGGTGACGATGATGCAGACACACTCCTCCCAATCACACCCGAAGACAATAACATCAACAACAACAATAACAATAATACGAGCATGGATATGATTGATGATTCATTGTTCAATGGTGATGAAGATGATTATGAGCATCAACAAATGACAAAGAAGATTAGATCGTTGAATACAGAGATACAAGAGTTGAGACAGAGGATTGCAATGTTGGAGAGGAAGTTGTCGACAAAGAAGATTAGGTTCGATGATAGATTGCCATGGTTCGCAATCAATCATTCATTGTTTGACGATAGCAAACGTTTGATGATGTTGGAGGACTATATCGTTCAGTTCTTCAAGACTAATGCATCGAGCTCAAGGGCATTGGCATCTCAAACACACAACAACTTGGTCTACTATTATAATGAGAATCTCACCATCAAGAGGGACTGCGTGCCAGAGTTGCAGAGGGTTGGCACTTCCATACCATACAACTTTGAACGTCTGCCGCAATACACCGTGGACAGACAGAGTCTCTATGAAGATGACAATGCTACTGGCGACAAGAAGGACAAGAAGGATACCAGAAGTTGCTTCAACTGTTCAGAGGCTCATACATTGAGTGAATGTCCTTACGTATGTTGCATTCTCATTCATTCAATCAACACTTGAGTCTAACGTGTACATACCTACATTGAATCAACCAAGTACAAGGATTATAGAAGGATACGAGCGAATAGACAGGAGTTCTTGGACTCAAGACCAGTAATGTATGTTGTGTAGTCGATGTCCAACATCCTTGGGTGTGATTGAATGGAGCGAGAGTACTAACAAAGATACTCACACAATACAGGAGTCGTTACTTTGTTGATGGCGAGAACAAGGCTGCTGCTATTGCAGCTGCCGCGGCAACTGTTAACAACAATGATGGTGAGAGTGGGCAAAGCTCTACATCATCAAACAAAGACACATCTTCACAACAACATCAACATGATGAAACAGACACTGGCAATCGCAATGGCAATGGCACAGACACTGGCAAAGGCACTGATAATGACAAAGACAATGGCACCACTGCACAATCATCACCATCAATAGACGACAAACAAACAGTTTCCACATTCGATATTATCAAGAAGAACATTGCAACGACTACCACCTCTGCATCAGGCGGTGGCTTTGACGACAGACACATTGAGGACAACATGGACTTTGTCAGGATTGAATCAAATAAGGAAGGTGGTGACGAGGACGATCCAAACAGACCTTATTCACCATCACAATCATTCAATGATGGATCATCATCCTCAAGACATCCAAACAACAACATTCTACTCTCACATGATTATCAACAAAAGGTATCCAACTCAATCAACACATTCATTCAAGCGCGTCAACAACCTCATCAATCTGCTGCTGCTTATCCACATGGCCAATACCAACATCAACAACAACAGTACTATGGATATGGATATCAATATCCTCCTGCTCCACAACCACCATCAGACTATTATCAATCTCATCATTATCATCCATATCCACAGTATCAACAACAACAACATCAGCAGTATTATTATGGACAGGAGTCATCCTGGCAACCTCCACCTCCACCACCACATGTCCGTTCACCTCCTCAATACTCTGTATCGAGCAAATCCAACGTCGTAGTGCCACCTCCACCTCCACCTCCATCCGCACAACCCCAACAACAACCTCCTCCAACTCAACCTGTCAAGTCGATAATTGGAGGCGATGTCTGTGAGATGGAGATAGAAGATGAAGATGGCCAAATCAGTTGAGATATATATAATATATTAGTTTAATACATTGGTGTCGCGACGTTATCAGTTTGTAATCTGTACGGGAGTCCAACGTGGACTCCTAGTGTGATTGGGCGCCGGGGGCAGCAGGCTCTTTGTACATCAAGTCGGTAAAGTCGGCGTCGGAGCCGTGGTAGACAAAGGAGTTGCCTGCGATGAGGGAGTTGGCAACCTCGCTAGCCTTGAATCCCTTGTAGCCATTGTAGACGTACTCGTGTGCGAGACGGGCCACCGAGCGCTGTAGTGGGAACGACTCCTTGTTGCCCATGGCGATGAACTCTGAGACGGGCGCCCACTTGCACTTGGCAATCTCATTGGGGTCGATGTTGATCTCAGTGGACAGGGCGCGCAGTGCGCACACATAATAGATGTCGCCACGGTTGAATGCATAGTTGTGGATCTGGCGGAAGCCCAGCACCGACACAAACTCGGTGCGCACACCCGTCTCCTCAAACACCTCGCGCACTGGTGTCTTGCAGATGTCCTCGCCGGCGTCCAATGCACCGCCTGGGATCTTCCAGCGGTCTGGTCTCTGCTTCTCAGTGATCAACAATATCTCATTCTTCTCATTGATGACCAGGCCACCACAACCAATAAAGTGAGACGTGTAGTCCGGTAGACGGTTGGCATCGCTTGGCAACCATCTTGTCAACATAAGGTAGTCCTCTTGGCAATGATGGAAAGAGAATTGTTCCTAAGATTGATTGCGTGAGTATGAAGGACTGATTGATTAATCGATTGATTGATGATCCAAACAAAGACATACAGCAACCAAGACAGGGATGAATTGTGACTTTGATTGAGGGATCTTGATCCAAATGCCACGACGCTTGTTCTCAATCCAATACTTGAGGGTGTCTTTGAGTTGTTGCTCAAAGGTGGCTACATCGTCTGGATACTGGGTGGTGTCCTCGACGGTAATACCTTCGAATATATCGGGTACACCTCGGAATATACCCGCCAGAGTATGAGTATGGAATCTCTCCCAGTCCTGTGACATTGACTTTGGTAACATTCTTCTAGATGCAGTTATTGGTGTTGGTGCAGGTGCAGTAGTTGTAGTAGTGTCTGTACTAGTACTTGTAGCAGTAGTCATCATCGATAGTTGAAATGAGTTGTAAGATGTAGTAATGATGTCGTAATGACGATGATGGTTAAACAATGAAGTGAAAGTCTTTGATTGATTGTGGTTGATCTTTGAAGTTAGAACAACAGATGATAAATGATTAAGTTGATGATGATGCTTAAGTAATGGTCTCGGTCTCAGTCTTTGTATAAGTTGTGATACGATCATCGAACAGTCAAAGTCAGATGAAAGTGAGAAGGCTGGCTGACTTGGTTTTATCTGTGTGTGTCTCTTTATTGGCTTGGGGTTGGTGTGACGAATGACCTGGGAATCACAAATCAAACACTAATTCATCGAATTGTCTTCAAGCACATCACCAATAACATTAAACATCATTAACTGTTATTTATAAGAGATATAAAAAGAGAGTAGATGTGAGACGATCTATAGATTACCAAAGATGGTAATGCTTGTGTTTAGCTCACAGCCAACACACTCAATGCCAATGTAACATTGACATTGGCAATGAATCTATTTTGTTGGTTGGTTGATGTCAATGTGTCAATGTCAATGTGTCAATGAATGAATAAAGAGAATGAATAAAGAGACATAACATACCCGAATTGATATTCTTCATAGTGAAATATACCTCCGTTGATTGGAATGTATACTTCACCATTGGATTGATCGTATGTACAGTTGGCAGGATTGCTAATGTCAATCTTGTTGGGATTGCCACCATCCGTAGGGTATACATTGAATGCCAACAAGTCAAGCTCATTGCGAAGATGATTCTTTACAATACCTGTGAACTGATATGAATCTCTATCTGTTGTTGTTACACTAAAGTCAAGTACAACCTTACCCTCAAGATAGTCTTATGTAAAGTGTTAGATTGAGTGATTGATTGAATGATGTTAATGTTAACATACTTAGAGGTTCACAACTTGATGAGATGATTGATGTCAAACAGAACTCTCCATGTGGACATGAGCCACAAGGGTTACCAAGTGCACTAGTTACGAGACCAGCAAGTAACAGAGTACAAACAGATACCAATAGTATGATCCACTTCATTTGGGCAATCAATGAATGACCTATGACTGCGAGTCACGCATGTTCTTATCAAGATTTATTGATCATGATTGGAAATTCGAATGAAAGTTCGTGTGGTGAGTGATCGATCACACACGCACTCGAGCTAGTGCTGGACTTGGTATCCAAGTCGATTCTTAGGCCTGCTTGGTTGATACTACCTTCTTGAACTTGATTGGTCTGCTCTTGAGTACAAGCACCATGTAGGTCAGTGCCCTGAATCCAACGGCAAAGAGGAAGCTTATCCACATGTTGCGCCAGTAATGATTGGCATTGTAGTCCATACGCTTGATCACTTCGAATCCGTTCTGGGTTGGACATCTTCCACCAATGCGCTCACTGTCCGTGCAGGTGAATGTCACGTCGGCAAATGCATTGACCACTGCAGCCTCGATAAGATACTTAAAGAAACTGATGTAGGGCGCCCATACCCATCCCTGTGGCACGTCGTTCAGATTGATGAAGAAGCCACTGAACAGGAAGAATAGGATGACGAATGGTGGTCCGACACTGGTTCCTACGGCCACTGATGGTACGGCACTGGAGATCAATGTGCCCATTGCCAATGACACCTGACTGACCATGATCAACACGAAAATAAACTTAAAGAATGGTGCTGCGGCAAAGAATGGATACACTCTTTGATTGGACATCCAGTATACAATTGTGCCCATGATCGTGGAACATAATACACCCTACATGTGATTGATTGATTGATTGATTAGTATGTATCCATTTATATTTGGAACAAGATGGAGTAGTTCCAGTAACCAAACAAGTACTTACAACTAAACAATCAAGTGTAGACTTGGCCAAGAAGAATGGGAATGTTGTGTATACACCAGATGCTCTGTCTTTGAGGAAGATGGTAATGATTTCGGGGACTAATGTGTTGCCAAGTGATGAATGATATTAGCCCATGATCTCACGCACTCAACCAATCAATCATAACAACTTACAAATTTGGATAGTAAGCATGACTGAAGGAAAACCAGTGCCCATGATGATGAAGGCCAATACACCAGTCCTCGATTGGACACTGGACTGACCAAGACCTATTTGGTAATAGACAAGTCCACAGAGTATGCCTTGGAAGATGGATGACATGATCTGAACACGTGATGACATTGGGTTCCTCTTGACATTCAGCAACTCTCTGTTCATAAGCATGCTGTACTGCGTCCATATTGTTGCACGTTGAGGCTTGGTATATGTCACCACCTTGTTACCAGATTCAGTCTCCATCTCCTCCAAATGTCGTTTCAACTGAACATTCTGTTGACTATCTGCATAGTACAGCTTCAATCTTGCAACCTCCTCTGTTATATTGATTGAGTTAGGGTGAGTAAGTCTGAGTGAATGGGATGGTTCCATGATGGTGGAGCTTGGATAAACGTACCTGGAGTGAGCTTCTTCTGAGGCTTGTGCCCATCTTCTATTCCAAGTTCATCATCCTCTTCGATTTGAGTGTTGATAAGGTCCACTGGAATGATTGATGTATTAGTTAGAGAGTGAGTCAGTCAGATCGATCCCGCACACACTCATCTTTCCATGATGCTTGTACATACTGAAGAAGTCAGCAGGGTTGGCACGATCATGGCATTGATAACCTTGTTCACTAAAGTAGTGGACGGCGGTGGCACCAAAGCCATAGTAGATGGTGGATCCCTCAGCCAGGAGCAACAACTTGTCAAAAAGGTCAAAGATGTTTGACCTTGGCTGATGGATGGTACAAATAATTGTCCTTCCAGAGTTGGCAAGACGTTTGATAGCCTTAATCACACTGAGTGATGTCGATGCGTCCAATCCACTTGTTGGTTCGTCCAGGAATAGCAAGCCTTAGAGTTGGATTGTTGGGTGGAAGTGGGGTTAGGTGACTGGTCATGGATGGATGGATGGATATACATACTTGGACCAGTGAGCAACTCAATGGCGATTGTAACTCTTCTTCTCTCTCCACCTGATATGCCACGGATCTTGTCATTTCCAACCAGTGTGTTGGCGCATCTCTTTAATCCAACCTCTTGGATAACATCATCTACCTTCTTCATCTTCTCCTCGTGTGCTGTATATGTGGAAATGTTGGTTGGTAAGTATAATTGATAGAATGTATTGAATGGATAGATGGATACATACGCATATCTCTTGGCATTTTGAGACGGGCGTAGAATGTAAGAGTCTCGCGAACAGTCATTGATGGACTGAGTGTATCTGATTGAGTTACGTAGCCACTGTTTCTCTTGAACACCTTGTAGTTGGCCTTGACACCATTCAACATCATCTCACCAGTTCCATTGATTTGCAGACGATGTGCCAGGATATCCAAAAGTGTTGTCTAAAGTAAAGACATAGACAGCAAGTGATTGATGAGTGAATGGACTTCCAGTTATCAATCAATTGGAACATACCTTTCCAGCACCTGATGGACCCATAATGGCCATCATCTCTCCAGCCTTGACAATACCATTAATGTCATTAAGGATTTGTTTGGAAACCTTTTGTTTCTTATCCTTGACAGTCACATAGTGATTGATGCCAGAGAATGAAAAGTCCATTCTATTGTCAAAGTTTCCCTTGGTTCTTGTCTAATGACATGGGTAAAGTATGAGTGAGTCAAAGAGTTTCATGAGGTCGATAATTGATTGATTGGATGAGTGAGGAGTGAGGAGTGATGGAGTAGTGCCACATACCATTGGGACAACTGGACCCAGATCTTCAGACATCTCAATCACATCTTGATTGGATGATTCCATGTTTTCCCGATTATGTTAATGATTATAGAGATAGAGATAATTTGAATGTATGTATAAGTTATATTAGCAGTTGTAATGCAAATATGTGATTGTTGTTTTTTGATGAGTCAATGGACAGACAATTGGTTTTGATCAATTAGCCGAACTTTAAATAGTTTTGCGTATTAGGGCTATTTTGGTTTAAGGGCACGAAGTGATTACGACCCCACCCCGATCACATGATAATTCCACGTCCTAATGATGCTCACACATACAATTACACACAAACATACAGACACAAGTTGTTTTCCTTCGCGCTTTCTTTGACTTGACAAACTAATGGCAATGGTGGGTACGCCATGAACGATACACTATGGTGTTCCTGATGGGATCGATGGTGAAGTATGTTTGAATTGATCGATTGATTGATTGATTGATACCGACGAACACCTTTGAATCTTTCTCTATCCTTATCCTGCTGGAGTAAGCCACATAGTCATTATGGGTGGGTTCTAACTCTAAGTATCCAACCATGTCCTTGGTACCATTGGCACCCCATGCACGTAATCATATTGTTGACAACCCGACATGATGGTGCGCCAAGGGGCGGCTATGAACTTCCGGTGTGTAGGCCTTGCACTTAACATCACATTGGTAGCTTCATTCATTCATTCAAACAATCATTCAACTTGTAGACGTCAGTAATACAAGTTTAATACCAGTTTACATAGACAATCTCTAGAAGCATAGCAATGGGAGCAAACTTTACAGCTTGGAGAGGTGGGCAATACCTCGCAGGCAGCTGGCATCGTTATTCTACGAAAGGACTCGGTAATCATCTCAATGGAGCAATAACTCTTAGTTGGTGTGCATAATGTTACAATTAAGTTCACATATGAAGGAGATAGTTGTTTGTTTATTGTAGTCTGACCTTTTGAAGGTTTAAATTAATTTATTGATGTGTAAGATGACCACTGAAACAACTTTGTTCTTCCAATTTTAATATTTAAAAACACAATATAAATACACTTCAAAATTTATATAAAGAATATATTAATATTAATAATATAAATACACTTCAAAATTTATATAAAGAATATATWTTATTCTTATTATWTATATAATACTAAT